AAAAAAAAAAAAAAAAAAAGTAAAGCTGTCCCTGTAACAGGCCAGACGTTGAGAATCCCACATTTTCTAGATGGCGGTGAGGCTGCTCCTTATCCCCAGGAAGATTCCTGGTACTCATTTCTGTCAGAGGCCGAGTCGACCCCAGGGATATAATGCGGCTGGAATGATTAGGCAAGTTGAAAAATCCAGTAACCTCATCGGGAATTGAACCCGCGACCTTGCGGCTTGTAGCATAGCGCCTCAACCAACTACGCTACCGCGTGCCCCGTACTTGTTTGTAGGATGTCACTGTTCTCTATAGATATATCCTTCTGGGCTTTTCAGTAGCACCATCTCAAGATGTAACGAGAGACCGAAAAGCAGATTTAAATTAATTATATAATTTTAATAATATCACTACTGTAAATGTTCTGAAACAGATTATAATAAATACAAAGGAACTAAGAGCCCCGGTGGATGAAATCAGACTGACATGGCATGGTGTCTAATTATCAGTCAAATAATTTTTAATTAAAAACAATGTACGTCATGTAACTACTATCACCAGAAGTTTCTCGTATATATATATTTTTTTGCGGAAGTGACGTTAAAAATAATTTATGATGAAACAATGGCCGAATGAAATGTGGACCGACGTTATATGTTTTGTGCCTCCACTGGCGTCGACAGTGGCGTGCGTTATCTCTGTGAGGCAGCCCTGGGTATGCGGTTGGTAGCCACAATGAGTGATCGCCGTACGTGACTCTCACATTGCCAAGCAACAGTGGCGTAACGCACTACATCAGAAATCTTACCAACCATTCTGAATAAAATATTAATTTTCCATAACACAGCGTTTGTGTACCTATCACAGTCGACTTGTCCCCTTGATCTCATATACTTCATTACCACAATCGTATATATATATATAATTCTTATCTCCGGCTACATGTTATCCTATATCATAAATGTGACAATAAAATCCTTTATTTCATTTTGAAGAAATCTGAAATACTTACCTACGCCTTGGTCCTACGCTCCTCTAAGAACCATGGCATACTTTATAATATACTCGTATATGTCTTTTGTCCTAATTTCTTTACAATAAACTCTCGTAAATCATTCTGTGCATCATAATCCATCTCAAATTGGCTCTTCCAATATCAGTTCTACTTCCTGCTCACTTTACAAAAATTTTAGCCGCTTTTCTCTTTCTTTCCAATGACATTACCTATTCATTCCAATCTTCGAATTCTGCAATATTCAATAACGGATCAGGAGTTTTGTACGAGATTCATTCAGTTCTTGGTTGGTGATGATTAATGAACAAATTATATTTAGTCCTATTCCATGAACAGACAAAGCTGTACAAAATAACGTTTTTGAAACTTTTACGGTAAACCTTAGCTCCCTGTATGACAACGTATGAAGCACATCTCAAGTATCCTGCGGTGGTGCATGTACCCCTGGTTGAGAACCACTGCCACAAGAAGTGTAACAGAAGATGGTCCTTAAGGGAACGGAGCGGAATAACAACGCGAACGGAATAACGGTTTCAAGACAGAAACGTCTTCAGGAGCGTGTACTCACCATGGCGGCGTACAAACACTACCAACAAATCAAGTTGTCCCGTGCTGCGCATGCGTATTCATGGTTAACTATATCATTTTTCCAGCTAATGTGCGCCCACCACACTTTATATTTTTGTACACACATAGAGAGACACCAGGCGCTAAGCATGCTCGTAATTCTATCATTTTAAAAGCGTTACTATAACGCGCGGGGCACGCGGTAGCGTAGTTGATTGAGGCACTATGCTACAAGTCGGAAGGTCGAGGGTTTGAATCCCGATGAGGTCATTGGATTTTCACTTAACCAAATCCTTCCAACCACACTATGACCAACCGGTGTATAAGGCTGAAAACTTCACCGCTACCTGTGAGCCGATTGTCTAGAAAATGTGGGAGCCTAGACGTCTCACAACCCTATGGGCCTCCACGGCATGTCACAGGGATACCTTTACCCTTTTTTTGTAACTATAATATTCAATACTGAAAATTTCAAACTATAGGTATCAGAAATATGATATAAACAAGCATTTCTCATTAAAATGACGACAGCTGACGAAGGAGACACTATTTTTGGCACATCCATCTACCGAAGAATTAGTATGACATGCAACTAGAGCATGTATTGATTTAACGACGCACTGTGTTAACATAATCTCACTCAGCAGAGCAAATTTCCCGACGGAGATTGCACTGAAATACCGCGTATAAGGACAATAGTCAGTACATAATTCAGGTTGGGTGGGTTACGATGAGCTAAAAGTCGCTCAACTGGCCATAAAATTCCTACTTTCTAGGAAACCCAAAATTTAATTTGATAGATCTGGTTCAGGATAGGGACGAGTGGAGGGCTCTTGTGAACACGGTGATGAACCTTCTGGTTCCATAAAATGCTGGGAAATTCTTGAGTAGCTTGCAGAATTGGCGGCTCCTCAAGAAGGGCTCAGCTCCATGAGTAAGTAAGTAAGTAAGTAAGTAAGTAAGTAAGTAAGTAAGGAGTGCAGAGAACGAGCCTCCTTATTATTCAGTTTTCTGAACCCTACTGTTACTTTCATTCTATTAGCTTAAAAAATTATCCTCGTCGGATTCCTTACTTATTGTAAGGGACTGAAGCCACTATAGCACTCAACGCCAATACTACTGCAGCTCATGGCCATAGTTACGCCTTCATCTAGTCAACACGCACGTCAGAATGATCTGGCTAGCAATACACATAATTTGGCATTCAGAGAATCGTGATTGAAGGTGTGTTTGTGCCCAAATTTCGGTCACGTACATGAAATGAATAATGAAATATTTAATATGTTAATCACATCTACGTTGCTTCAATATGTTGGTACCATTTTTCTCATATGAAAGAACATAAAAGTGATAGTAACATTTCATCAATGATCATAAATCATCCTCTTTATTTAAAAATTAATCATATCTCTGCGGAAAAAGAGGCAGTAAAAATGACATAAATAACAATATTTTATTTCGTGTATTCATATTTTGAGTTCTGACATGTTCGCATGCAGGGGAAAATAATGGGAACATGCTGGCATGTAAAAACGAAAATCTGGCCAACTCTAATTTGTTAGTTTCCGAGCAGCGTTCGCATATGCGTAATCTGATCGACTTTAATAAGAACGTACACGGAGCAGAATCCTGTTTCAGAAGCTGACTGTTGCTAAACAAATTATTCTTTTAAGGAATCCGAAGATCCATTCAGTATTTGAGAGACTCCACCACTGGTCTCTCTCTACAGCTAGATTAATTCATTCCGTGTCTTTATACACTACCCGTCTAGATCTATTTTAATATCATTCTCTTATCTAACTCTACGTCTTTCACGTGGTATTTGAAGTTCTGGTCTGCCACTCATGCTACTTGTACAGCCCATCCTACCATTCTTACTTTTGTAATTCTGATAACACTGAGTGCAGAGTAAACGCATGCTGTTGTACATTATGCGGTCGCCATCCTCGTGTTACGTTCTTCCTCTTAGGTCCGAAATTTGCAAGATGTTCGCGTGCGCTGTAATTTTGAAGTGGAGGATGCTTTCATTCTATATACATTCATTCATTCATTCATTCATCAGTAATCTGTCAAGACGACAGGTCCACAGACTCTTCGAAAACATTTCCTCCACTTAATACGATCTAGAGCTTTCTCCTTCAAATGAGAATATCCTCTTCTGTCCCCAAGGTCATCCAGCATCTCCTTACGTCTTCTTCCTCGTCTTCTGGTCACTTCTATCCGCCCCTATATCTTTCCTTCAGTAACTTCTTTTAGAAGGCAGTTACTGCGTAAGATATGACCAATCCAATTAGCTTTCCGTTTTCTTATTTCGTGTAGGATATCCCTCTGCTCACTGACTTTAAATAACATTTCTTCATTTCTCACATAATCGGTCCAATTGATCTTCTCCATCCTTCTCCAACACCACATTTCGAAGTTTTCCAGGTGTTTCTGATCTACTGCCCTAAGTGTCCATGTTTCAGCCCCATACAAAGCCATGCTCCAAATGTAGCATTTCACTAGTTTCTTTCTCAAATTTAAGTCCACTATATATATTACATTACATTAATTACAGCTCATGCGAATATAGATATATATACACATGATACCTGTATACAGAATGCTTCAAGGTTAAACTGGACTTCATTGTTTTTCCTGAAGATGTGGGCAACAGAAAAATATAAATTGTTTATGGACAGTGGTTGCAATACTGCATTCACTGCATGTCAGGCTACCATGAGCCCCGCTTCTGCGCATTAGAGCTACTATAATCGTAAGATGGCGTCAGACATCGTCATTGCTAGTGTAGAACAGCGCTGTATTATCAGACTAGTGAAATTCTTCACAAGTTAAATGCACGATATGAGAAGATCCTATCACGTGTATGTGTCGATGATTTATGTAATAAATTCATTTAAAGGACATAAAGATTTCTGGAACCATCAAGACGCGACTGCCAGTTGGAAGTATCATGGAAAAGTGTATTTTGGGATTCAGGATGAGTGATTCATGTCGATTTTCATCCATATCATGTAACAATTAATACGCAATGTTAATGAGGAGCTACTTGAACGGAAAGTAACGGCTCCGGTCTAGAAAACTTAAATTAACGGCCGTGTGGATTCGCTGCGCTGACCACGCGACATCCTCTATCCGCAAAAGTTGGCATTAACTTCGCTGACAAGCGGCGGCCGCTCGGTCGGTATAGTTCGCTTGCGGACTAAAGCCACAGAGTTTTTTTACAATAACTTACTTCGAAATGACGTGCACCAAGCGATTCGGAAGATAAGACATAGGAAATAGTCAAAGAAACCGCCCTACAATACAGAGTGTCCATAACGTCTCTTTACAATTTTAAAAATTTATTACAAAGGCAAATGAAAAGACAGATAAGTGGAAATTATTACAACATGAGACGTATATATTTAAGTTCTTTTCCTCCTATAATACATCTCTATATGGGCACCATTAGTTGCATGAAGCACATCAAGACGGTACTCGATTTCTTGCCATGTTCGCTGTAGCATACCCTCATCAGTGGTGGCAATGGCATCAGTGGTCCTCGGCTTTAGATTAGCGATGTCCCGTGCCTTTGTTCGACACGCGATATCTTTACCATAACCCCATAGAAAGAAGTCGAGGGGAGTGATATCTGGCGAACGAGGTGGCCAGGGAACTGGGCCACCCCTTCCAATCCACCGGTCTGGAAATGTTTCATGTAGAAACCCACGAACGTGCAGTCCCCAATCTGGTGGTGCACCATCTTGCTGGAAAATGATGGTTGGTTGAAGGTCATGTAGTTGTGGTGCCACGTATTCAGTTAAAAGATCAAGGTAGGTGATGGCTCGTTGAAGAAAAATGGACCAATGATACGATTGCACATGATCCCACACCACACATTCACCTTTCGACTATCTCGCTGAAGTTCCCTAGACACATGGGGGTTTTCTGATCCCCAGATTCTCATGTTGTGTGTGTTCAGTTTCCCTGAAACATGAAAGGTTGCCTCATCACTAAAGCAAACTCGGTTGCCATTTTGTACGGGGTTCATTGGATAACCACTAAGTACATACAATAAATCTGATGAATATATAGCATCAATTGCCTTTGTAATACATTTCTGAAATTGTAAAGAGACTTTATGTTCAGTCTATATTACCTGCTTCTTCACACATGGAAAATTCGACGATTCTGACATGCATATTATTTTTGAAAAATTTGATGTCCGGGTCAACCTTGAACCACCCTCGTTCATGAGTATATCTTCTTCTTCGTCTACTTCTTCAAGGATATAGGCCATTGGCCTGTTTCAGACTTCGAGAGAATACACCCTTACATCTAACTATTCACGTCCAGTATTTCGGTGTCCTCTGGGTTTATAGTTCAGTATTATATTTGGAAGTTTCTCTGTTGTCATCTTTAAAGCATATGTTCGTACCATTTTCCTTTTATTTTCCTGTTCTCTCAGTTGGGTCACGCGGTAGAGGAGTTGGTTGAAGCACTATGCTACATGTACAAGCCGGAATATCGTCATTGGATACTTTCAATTGACCTAATCCTTCCAGCCGCACTGTGGCTCTGGGGTCGACTCAGCCTCTAACAGAAACGAGTACCAGGGATCTTCCTTGGGGTAAAGGGCGGCTGAGAGCCTCGACGTCTCACATCCGTATGGGCCTCTGCGGTCTGTTACAGAGATACCTTTACGTTTATATTCTCTCAGTTAAGTTGAATATTTCTAATTCTGAACGTATGTACATATATATATATATGTACATACGTACATATATATATATATATATATAAATATGGATGGAAATGTGAATCCGGAAACAGAGTTGCACGACTGTCAGTGTCGTGACAACGTAAAATATGGGCATGAGTCAAGCTGGGCTCGGAGCCGAAAATGACTGTGCTGGCGAGACCCAGCAGAAGTTTACCAGGCGGAGCGACTGACCGAAACCGGAGAAAGAGCTTAGTCTAATCCAAGAAAGAATAAGAAAATGTTGGAGAAGTTAAACCGTTCCTCCATCATTCGTAGCCACTAGTAAGCGTCAAGAAAGCGGCCTCCGTAGTCTAGAGGTAACGTTCCCACTCGTGGTACGCGGGTTCAAACCCGGCGGAGGTCGTGGAATTTTTAAGGGCGGAAAAATTCAGGGAACAAGTCCTCGGGGAGGGACTTTAAGCCGTGGGTCCCGTGTCGTAGCTTTACGGCACGTAAAAGAACCTCATATCTCCAAAGGAGGTCACTGAGCCAAATTCAAGGACATTTCCCGCCCAACAGTAGTCTCTAACGCCTCTGATAGATGGGGGAAGCATTATAGATACCGCCAAGCCAGTAGAGGCCGAACTCGCTGGCTCGGTCGGGACTGATGGTACGCACCAATATCGGTAGGGTATAGAGACTGGTAGAATATCATAGAGGGAAGCACAATGGACCAATACTGGTCTAAGTGCATGGGGAAACCCACCCTCTCCAATAACTAACTAACTAAGCGCCAAGAAAAATGAAGTCGACTTGCCTGGCGTGTGATCCTGTATATGGTCGTCACCGAACAGCCCATCCACAAGTTGTCCCAGACCGCCTCGCATGTGGCCGCCGTCCAAACTTCCATCATAACTCAGGTCTTCCAGGGACGATTCCTCCTCTCCCCGAGGCGCTGAATACGTTACTATGCTCTCTGAAATACACAATATACCACAGAGCTCAGTTGAAATGTTATTCTCTGAAACGCAATGCTGAACGCGTTCTCTTAGGGAGACTGAGATACTTTATTCAGACTGAAGAATATTGTACAGTTCAAGCGAAGTGACACGAGAGTGTAAACATGTTATTTGCCTCTTCACATGCCTCATCAGACTTAACGTCCATTCAATATCAAAATAATCTCTAATTGCAGAAAACAACTCGCTATCAGAAACTAAATGATGCTACACGTACCAGACACCTGTCTACCTATCTATTATTTTTTTATTGCTAGTGGGGTGGGACTAAGTCCCTTGTACTGCGGCCACTTTTGCCCTATCTATCTATCTATCTATCTATCTATCTATCTATCTATCTATCTATCTGTCTGTCTGTCTATCTATCTATCTATCTATCTATTTATCTATCTATCTATCTAAATACCCACCCATCTATCTATCTATCTATCTATATTCCTGTTGCTCCCACTTGGAACATAGGGCATCCATGAAACGCTTAGTTTTGCTTCAATTTCTTAATCTAAGACAGTCGGCAGGACTCTTTGAAAGGGGATCAGCCCGTCGCAAGGCTTCTACCTAAACACAGGATAACACAAACACAGAATAGACACAGACAAACTTCCATGCCTCGAGTGGGATTCGAACCCAAAATCCAAGTTCGAGCGGGAGAAGACATTTCATGTCTAAGGTCCCCCATACACACACAGTTTGGCCTCCAGTTCGGTCTGCACAGTTGATGACTGAAAGGCAAAACTGACGTGTGTGGTGCGGCTGGCCGGCCAATCGTTTGGACTGTTGGCCTGTAGGAATCCCGTCAGTTCTACCTACAGGACGTAGCAAGTGACAGGCGGAACGTACGTGTGTGACGATACCGGCAGGCCAATCGCTCAGTTGCTGCTGCTGTCTCGTGTTCTTCCGCACTGTTTCGCGTTGTGGTCATTTCTCGTGGTATTTCGAAACTTTGTGCTATGGCGACATGGTCGAAGGACTTTTTAGTCGAGTTTATTGAACAATTTCGTGGTCATTCTTGCATTTGGAAGGTGAAGAGCAAAGAATATCACAACCGGGAGATGAAAGAGAATGCTTATTTAGCACTGACAGAAAAATTGAAAACAGTTGACCCACATGCTAACAAGGAAACTGTGTTGGAAAAGATCAACAATCTACGAAGTAGTTTCAGGAAGGAACGGAAGAAAGTACTGATGGCTAAGAAATCTGGAATGAGTAGCGAAGACCTCTATGTCCCGAAATTGTGGTACTACAAAGATTTGTTGTTCCTGGTAGACGAAGAAGAGGCCTTGGACGGGTTTGCAAGTCTTGTTAGTGATACCGAGGTAAGTGGTGTAATTAAAAATCAAACTTTTATTGCATGTTAACAATTATAGATTACAGTGCTAAACACTAACCCTTCAGCGTAAGCCTAATTTCGAAGGTCCATTAATATGGAACGAACTATGCCAGCATGATGATGTTTGCACTGGGCTGTTGTGAAAAGAATACGCTTTCTGTTCGCGTAACCATAAGATCCTAGATCCTGCAGCACTGCCAGTCAGTCTAAATAGAACGCGTGACCTCACAGTTACGATGGCCAAGTGACTATGATATCAACATACCACAAAGATGATATGAGTGTGGTTGTGAATAAAGCAAACAAACAAGAAACAAAGCTAGGAGTGGATCTGACGGATCAAATGCTACAGCCGTACTTCCTTGAACGAAAGAAGAGTACTAAGTGGTTTCAGAAGTTATTCAAGAGGCTACTCAATGTAGCAATACATAACGCAATAGTCATATATCGGTGTCTCCCGAATAACAAAAACATGGACGCACTAAAATTCAAACTTTCACTAGCAAAAGACCTCGTGCAAAAACACGGTTCTGGTGTTCTTCGTCCTGTATATGGCCGTCCGTCAGTTGAGCCGCCGCGTAAAAGACTCACAGAACGACATTTCCTGGAGCGTATTCCAGCCAAAGGAAAAGGGCAAAGCCTAAAAAAAGATGTGTGGTGTGCGCAAAACATGGTAAAAGGCAAGAATCTATTTACTGGTGTAGTGAATGTGAGGCAGGGTTGTGTTTAGATGGATGTTTCAAGAAATTCAATACGAAACTCAAATTCTAATCTACTTGCTTCCATCGCTCAGATACAGGGCGCTCATATTGTAAGGTAATATTATAAAACCAACTTTTAAGATGATTTCAGTAAAAAATTCATAATTATATCTTATATAGTTCAAAAGTTATGATACATAATATAATTTAGAGCAAAATTTAAATGGGCAATTAAAAAATACTACCGCAAGAGGACCCACAATTTAAATGGAAGACTGCATGCGGCCTGGCGGTTTATCTGCGCGTGTATGTGGAAGGAAAGGGAGAGGCCAAACTGTCACAGTTTTGCCTGTAAGGTCGATCGCAAGGCCCAACTGTGTGTGTATAGGGGGCCTAAGACCGCACGGCCACTGTGATCGGCACAACACACCATACCTAACTAAATTAAATAAAATTCTTCTTGGGTACTCAAAAGTCCCTCAGTTTTTCAAGAAAGTTCAGCATTGTATGGATCCCGAAAGTTTATTACCGTGGTCACAACAGCACGCAAATTTTCATTTCGTGGGTTCCAGTCTACACTTCGTTAATCCATTTCTTTAAGATACTTTTTAAAGCATCCTCCTATGTATCTGTGTGTGTATGTATGTATGTGTGTAAGTGGTGGGCCATAAAACCCGGCCCTCGCACTGCGACCTTCAATGATCTATTGTGCCTCCCCTTTGGATTAACCCTTTATTAACCCTACACTTCGAATGAAATGTAGGACTTTATTTATGGGGGGCGTCATAAAAGTCACATGGTTCCATGAAGAACTGACCCAGGTGACGAAATCTTAACCAAACTATGGCCTCACGATCACATAGGATGTGTGTGGCTGATTCGTCTTCTTGTAGGCACCTTTCATAAGTTGGGTCATCAATCTCCTATCTACGTTGGCGTGTTCCATGCTGTCTCTTCCAATTAGGTTCTCGTACAAAAACTTCTTACGTATTTCTGTTTTGACCCATATAACCCTATAAATTACTTTCCCCTCTTTTATATTTCAAATTCACAGTAGTGATATATATTGTATATGACAAGGTCGCGTTATACTGCGTTATGTAAAAAAGTGTAACAAGATGATCTGCTTTCAGAAAATGTATAACTTCCATTAGAATGTTATATTGAATCGAATCGATATACTTGTGTACACTTGTGCTACACTTGTGTAGCCTTCCCACGCAACTGCTACAATAAAGGTCCTTCAGAATCTGTCCGGCAGTTTTGGAAATGAAACATGCGAACGGACAGGAAGGTGAGCACACACGATCTCAGTATGATGTTTCAATTTCATAAATTTGTTTCCTGTTCATACCATAACAACATACAAACGTGTAGTCTAATGGGAACGAATTTGTACGTGTCTTCCTGTGTAGTCTTGGTTTGATGAGGCAGAAGGGTCCTCAGAGACGTTGGTAGGCACCTACCAGACTGTACGATGTCATAACGCACAAGATATTTTAACTTTTCAGTGCTTCGGAAATATAAGATTTCAAATACATATTAATATAATTTCCTTTCTTCTAATTCACCTTGTCCTGACATCTTGTGGCAGACATATGTTCTAAAATTCGTGACAAAAAGTACTGACACATTGCCCTCATAAGCTACAAAGGTTATTAATGTTCCTATAATTGACATCGATTTTGAATTAAGTAAATAAAATAAATAAGTTCATGGAGGTAGGCCTAGGCCCACTGGGGCTGTAGTGCCAAAGGAAAAAAAAAGAAGAAAAAATAAAATAAATACACGAACTATTTTTTAATGCTAGTGGGGTGGGACTAAGTCCCTTGTACTGCGGCCACTTCTGGCCTTTTGTACCAGCTCCAGATGATAGGTGAGGGTGATTGTGGAGAAATTGGTGGAATGAAGATTGGCAGGGTAAACCGAAGTACTCGGAGAAAACCTGCCACAGCGCCACTTTGTCCACCACAAATCAATACAAGAACTAATTAATATATAAATAAGATACAACGAGAAGATAAAATTTTTATCTCCTCTTGCTCCCACTTCGAAGCATAGGGCTGATTCCTCAGTTTCATTACCATTTTTAAAGACGGTCGGACTCCTTGGACGGGTCATCAGTTCGTCGCAAGGCCTGTACCTAGTAAACACTGGTCAACACAAACACACCAAACATCCATGCGTGAGATTCGAAGCCACGATCCCGGCTTCCGAGCCAGAGAAGACAGTACATGCATTTGACCGCTCGGCTACCGTGACCGGCAGAAGATAAAATACCTGTGCTCAATTAATTTAGCACTCCTCTATGAAGACGTATGGAGGAGTGGAGGTACATTTTCATGAATTCTTAACCTCGGCACTAAATGGAGATGTGTGGTCAGCCTCGGCCGCTTTTCTTCTAGGAAAACAACCCCCCCCCTCTATTCATTTGATATAGGGTTTTGTGGACCCCAGAGACAGTCTGAACGCTGTAAACGAACAAAATTTCTGTTGCGCCTAATGGGAATCGAACACTGATTTCTCTGTTGTCCAGACCGTACCCAATCTTTACGTCGGCAAAACTATCCCGGCTCCAAATGCTTGAAATGCATGAAAATAAAATGAACTGTACGTATTCTCCGTTTTGTCGCTCAGAAGTCACGGTCCGTATGAGTTAAGTCCTAGCGACTCCTCGCACAGTTAGGCCTAACACATTTTTGACGTCATGGGAATGGAAAAGGGGCACGATAAGACACATACAATAAACATTATTGTTTACTAGGTTTGTTGAAAACAAAAATGGAAGCGGTTTCACTTAATCTATAGGCATGGACCTGTAATATTCAGCTGCCATGAGGTGGAAATTAATGTGGTGTGTGTGTGTGCCTGTCCCGCAGTTTGCCTAACCTCGCAGCTTCTCTTGCAGCGATAAGACGTTGCTGTT